CTAAAATTCCACTATTTTACCAAATCTTAAAAATTACGCTAATCTTAGTTAAATTTCTCTAATATAAAATATGTAAATAATATTTCCAACCATTTTCTAACATCCTCCAAATTTTCTTGAAATTCTGACTCGATTCGATTATCTGATTCGTATACCGAATTTTATCTATTTATAGCTTTTAACATAAATCCCGTACTGAAAATATGATTCCCATGAAAATCTCTGTTTTAGGCCAAACTATTCATTTATGGGCTAAAATATATAATTTTTCAAAATTATATTTTTGGTCCCTAAACTTTTACAAAGTTTATACTTTAGCCCTCAAACTTTCAAAACTTATAGTTTTGTCACTAGTCAAAATTTGGGGTATTACAATTCTTCCCCCTTTAAATAAAATTTGTCCTTGAATTTTTCTATACTTATCTATATACCTGAAGTAAAGAGATAATTGTGTCTTTTTCTAGTCCCCAAGTCATTTTTCTTAACTTTATGATTTCACAAAAGAACTTTCACCAATGGAATCGTCTTATTTCTCAGTTCCTTGTTTCCATATACTAAAGCATTTACTAGTTTCTCTTCATATAACAAATCTGACTGAATATCGATTTTCGTTTTTGTAATCACATGTAAACTATTCAATCTATACTTTCGAAGCAGGGATACATGAAACACATTATATATTTTATTCATTTCTGGAGGTAATGGCAACTGGTAAATTACCAGACTAACTCTCTTTACAATATCATATAACTGATAAATCTTAGGCTTTACTTTCTTTTATGCTCAAATCTCATAACATTTTTCTAAGGTAAAACTTTGAGAAATACTTTATCATCTCTTTAATATTTGATCTCCTTTCTTCATTTTTTCGATCATTTCTGAACATCATTTATCTTTGTTGGGAAGATGTTTAATCAAATCTGAAAATATAGGTTTCAACATCAACTTTACAACAAGTACACCATCATTTTTCCTTGAAAATCAAGTACTTAAAGCTTTCAAAACAAAGAAGATCTTTTTACTAAGTGTGTCAACTACCATATTAACTTTTTACAATATGATAATCAATAATCATATCAATCTTTTAGAAGTTCGATCCATATTCTTTGCCTTAAATCCAATTCTTTATAAATAAAAAAATACTTCAAACTTTTATGATTTGTTTAAATATAACATCATTCACCATATAGATAGTGGTGCCATATTTTCAAAGTAAACACCACAGTCGTTAACTCTGAATTCTGAGTAGAATAATTTTGTTCATGCATTGTTAACTGTCTCAATGTATAAACTATTACTTTACCTTATTGCATCAAGACACATCTCAAACCATTAAAGGTTGCATAATTGCAAATCATATACTCTTCACCTGATTCTGACTGTGCTAAAATTGATGCTTTTGTCAAAATTTTCTTAAGTGTATCAAACTTTTCTTATCATGTTTCAGTCCAAATAATTGGTACATCATTTCTAAGTAACTTTGTAAACAAAAAAGTAATCATCGAGAAATTATTCAAGAATCCCCGATAGCCGCCAGTTAATCCCAAGAAATTACGAACTTTGTATACATTATTTAAGGTTTTCCATTCTATTATAACTTGTACTTTCTTGGAATCTACTCAGATTCCCTCTGCTGAAATCACGGGTCCAAGGAAATAAATTTCTGACAACTATAATTCACATTTTAACAACTTAACATACAACTTTTTATGTGGCAACGTCTGAAGTATAATGCAAAGATGTGTGTTGTGATCATATTTAATCTTATAATAAATCAAAATATCATTAATGAATACGACTACAAAGTAGTCTAATTACGACTAAAACTCTTGATTTGTTAAATCAATAAATACTATTGGAACATTAATCAATCCAAATGTCATCACTACAAACTTATAATATCCATATCGGGTTCTGGAAATCATCTTTGGAATATCTTTGCTCTTTAAACTTTAATTGATGATACCCTAATCGAAGATCAATCTTCAAATATTCTGATGTACCTTTGAGCTGATCGAATGGATCATTGATCCTTAAAATGGGGTACTATTTCTTTCTTTCACTTTATTTAGCTGACAGTAATTTATATATAGCGACATCTATTCATTTTTCTTTTAACAAAGAGTACCAGTATACCACATGGAGATACCTTTGGTCTAATAAAACTATGGTTAAATAGTTCATGTAGTTGTACCTTTAACTATCTCAATTATGTAGGAGTTATCTGATATGGGACCATAAAAATTGACACTGTACCCGAAAAAATATCAACTTTAAACTCCACTTCTCGATCAGAAGGTAATCTAGATAATACATCAGGGGTTACATTTAGAATTTCCCAAACTATCAGAATATCCTCTAATCTAACTTCAACTATTCAGTTGTCAATTACATTTACCATAATGATCTCAAATTCATCAAATAGTAATTCCATTAAATTCACCGAGAATATCATTCCTTGAATTTTATCAGGAAATTCCTACTTATATGTGTTACTCTAAGGTTATGACCCAACGATTTCATTACTATAAATAAATTCTAAGAAAAAGCATGTTTAAAACAATCATTTATTAACATAACTTATTCAGGAATTCTATTCTCAAATGTAAATGACTACTCTATCACTTGAAGTCATTCTTCGTATACTTTCTCATTTCTATAATATTATTCCAATTACCATAATAGTAAAACCCTTTCAAGTCCTTCGGATTAACAACTACTCTCTTTCAATCTTATTCTAAATCCTTTCGAAGGATTACACAATTTTCATCTAATTCACTAAAAATTTAACTTTCTTTAAACTTTAACAGATAATTTACTTACCTGTAGACATTTCAAAATCATCGGTAATTTTAATAATCTCCTCGTCTTTTTAATTCTTGATTTCTCTTATATACTTTCTAAACTTTCTGATAGTTTCCTCTAATCTAGTTACCCTATTAAACACTGGGGTATATCTTCCACATAATCGAGGAAAATCCTTGATAGCCCTAACCTTACTAGGGCGAGATACTAAACTCTCCTTGAATCCAATTGAATTCACTAGTAGAAAAAACCCCTTTAATGACGCGCATTGCGCGTCATCTATGGGTGCAGATGACACACATTTTCCTGTCGTTGAAGCCACCGACATGAATTTAAGATGACGCGTAACTGTGCGTCATAAATTTATGACACAAATTTATGACGCGGATTTATGGCACACATTTATGACGCGCATTTATGACGTTCATTGAACTTCATTGAAGCCCCGTCATAAATTAAGATGACACATATTTGTGTGTCATAAATATAAGATACACATGTATGACTTACATTGCGTGTCATTGAAGCACACATCATTAAAAAAGATGACACACATTCGTGTGTCGTGATTGTATTTCGTAAATTATATATATATATATTGTAGATTGACAAATAATCAAACTAAATCACATTTAATGCCTCATAATACTAAATATATATATATATATATATATCATATTATATATAAGCAATCCATTTGCATACAATATATTCACATTAAGTTTCAAAAATATTGTAATCATATGTCGATACAAAATATCACGGCATAATAAAGTTCTACTAATATGCTCTCGCCATCCGGGTGTGCACACAAAAAATAATTGAAAATAATTGCAACAGTTAAAACTATTTGCAATATATAGAACAAACACATTCCTAATATGCACATTAAACTTCTGAAAACACCTTCCTTGGTCCAGTATATTTATGCACAAACATGCACTCATGTTTCAACAAACCAAATGACATCTTACTTTTTGAAACTCTATCAGATTTTTCAGCAACTTTGTATTCTCAATTCCAATGGAGTTGAGGCTTCCTGATTCTAGTTGTGTTTCATCAACCAACAAGTTTGAGTTCAGCAATGTTGTTTCCAGCCAGACTCTTACGGCTTAACCGAAATTACAAAATGAGCTCCATCATTTTTACATCATAAACTGGTTACTAGAGTTTTAGAATAATATTAAGGTGCAAAGGTACAGATTAAAAACCATAAACATGTTGACTATACCTCTCCAACATCAGGCTCATCATTTTCCTCAATGGCATCCACATCTTCAAGCTCCATCTCAAATATGCCTTTGCTGAAATCATCTTGCAAAATGGCATCCCATCCGATCTCCAATTATATGAAACTCTAATAAACTCACCGGTATACAAACCCAACAATTTTTTATTCCAAGGCAAATTCAATTCACTTACATCTAGTTCTATCAGCCGGTCCACCACATCCATAAGCATTGTTCTTCCAACGAGTTCTCCAATTTCATCACTCTCTAATTTTTACATGTTCTCCACATATATCACAACCGTCTACAGAAAAAGTGGATAAGCTTCAGATTCAATGTTCTTAACAAGTTTCAATAATAAAAACAGGCAGTTGCAGGCACAAAAGCAACAGAAACATGATATAATTGTTCAAGAAATTGCATTGAAGAACTTCACTAAAACTAAATCGAACGGTGTCTTACATTGTCATCCATTTGGGGACTAGAATCAAATGAATACGCACAAAGCATAACAACATTAACTTTTAAAGACGGTATATACTCCGACCAGAACAGAAAAATACATAAAAATTTGATGATAAAAGGACATCTAAATTCCCTATTAAGAAAATTCAACTTACTCGGTCCTTGTGATAAATTGTTGGCATTCCTTGCAGAACTACGGTAAATAATCTCAAGGGAGAAAGAGGGACATAATCAACCATAATGTTGGTGCAAAACAAATTAGACAGGATCACATAAGACAGATATGAATAATATACAACTAAAATGCTTAAGTCGATATAATAATGTATATGTGAAGTGTATAGATGCTTGCATGATCTACATCACAAAATTCAAATTTACAAGCAATTACATCAAATATCAAAGATAAAACATGCCTACTAAGAAACAATATCGGGTATCGACCATAACAAAATAACAGACTTCACCTTTCGCGTCTTTTTATTCTTGCCTTTGTCAATTTCTTCACTTTTTTCACTCTCAACATATGATACTTTCCTGACTGACCTACTAGAAGTACGAATTTCATTATGTCTTCCCATGCTTGTTGCCATATTAGAATGAACATTAATTTTATGATGATTTCCACTTCTTCGTGTCATACTCTTGAAATCCCCATCGCTTTCACTGTCAGAATCCTCAGTTGAGTAATCATCCTCATCAAAAGACAATCTCCCTCTTCTTTGTCGACTGGAGGATTTATGTTCTCTAGTGGGTTTTACATTATTACACCCAACTTTAATCTATTGCCTGCCCGTGGGTTTCTTTTTAAGATAAGAATCGTCTTCATCTGTAACATTTATTTCATCACCATTACTATAATCTTCTTCCTCAGAATATTCACCATCCCAGTCTTTATCCTGTTTAAGAACTAAATTAGTGGGGAGAAAGATCATGCAAATGATAAGGCATAAGCAACACAACCATCAAGAGTCAAGCTTCATGACCAACTAAGAATATAATTTATTATGGATAATCTTAATTGTGGCCCTATAATTGAATATCGTTACACAGTAGTATTCATCACCATTTCCAGTAGAATAAAAGAAGAGGTTTTGAAACCCTATTTTTTACATTCTACAAGAGGAAGAAATTCCTAACACTTAACCCCAGCATAGTAACGAATATGTTCTCTTACATGGTACAATTAAATTCATGGAATTAAAAGGCTCCATCTTTAAGTGGTTAAAATAGTTTCTTTTTTTTTACCAGAGGGTCATGACAGCTAAAAGTTAAAGTTAAAGATTGTCAAAAACATAATTTACACTTATCAAGCAAATACTTATGCCGACACTCGATCCCTAGTCTATGTAACATCAATCTACATGCTTCAAGTCCTATAATTCACATTTTGATATTTTCCTGGTTATCTTTCCCTTACGACAAAGAAAGGATTGGATAAAATATGCCTTTAGAAAACTTCAAATGTGAAGGAGAATAACATAAAAATCATAAAATTAAAACTAGAACAAAAGAAGTTGAGAAGTAAAAATAATTTAATAACCTTATTCCCTGCATGAGAACTTGCAAGTCCATAGTTAGGCTCAAAATCTGCATCATGAGGATCATCTTCTGCAAATAAAACAGTAAAAACTTGGCATCTCAAAATCAAGGGAACAAAAATATTATTGCATATTTAAAGGCTAGGATTATATATAGCCGATAAATCAAAAACACTAATTTATTAAGTCTTAGTGACTCAATAAGAAATGTTGTACTAAGAAATAAGGTAGCAAATGAAGACAGGAAGGGAAGGTGTATTACCATCTTCTTCTCATAATCTGCATCAACATCAACATTGTTATCGTCATCATTGTAGTTACGGTAATTTAACACTCTTGAACTCCTGGACACATTGCTCCCGATAGAAACATGATTTGACTGTGGTCTAATATTTAACCTAGTAGAATTGACAAAGCCTCTATGATGCATTGTATTACCTTGCTCTTCCCCATCCTGTTCATAGTATTCATCAGATAACATCTCATCTTCTGGGACATCAAAGTGACCCCTTTGAGTCTTGCCAACATCTTTTTGTGCCTCATCAACATCTGATTCTAATATATCATCCCTGTCATCTGATGAATAATACACTGAACCTCCTAAAATTCTTATGGTCTGATTTTTACTCCAACCAGAATCAGATCCACCATGGCAATCCATAGGCCGACAGTCCTTCCAAAAATTTAAACCCCAATTCCCGGGTGCTGTTCTTTTTCTCACTGGCTGAAAATTGGAATTTAAAATACCAGCCCCATTATCAGTAACTATATCACGATGCAACCTACTCTGCTCAAAATTTGAAATGCCAGCCACGTCACTTTGATATTGTCCATCCATGTTAATACCAAATTCTCTTTCACTATCAGTCCCATCTATGTCCTCATTCTCTGTTGATCTCAGAACCCGACCAATGTTTTGCCCATGCCTTTTCTCTTTCAAGACACCATGTGAGACTGTTTCATTTGAATAGTTCCTAAAACATGCCATCCTCTCACTTTAAAATCCAAGGCATATAACTCCACTCTTTAAAAACTTGGCAAAAAGATTAGGGAATGCAAAGCACCTTCACAATCTTGGCTGAGAACCTGGAAAGTTAATCAGCCAAATGCCAAAATTTTAGTCTTTCTGAGATAAATCAGAACACACAATTGACAGAGGAATATAAAGGGAAGCGGACAACAAAAGTAAGGTGCTGCACAAAAAGAACTTCGAGACAAATGAAAATATAAACTTTCACGAAATAATACAATTTACTAAGAAAATGGCAATCCCTACCCAGCTGAATAATTAAACAATTCCATGTCCAACGTTGAAACTCTTTACAGTTTGCAACATTTTCTGAGCAACTACAGACGTCAACGAGAAAAACTTAGTTAAATGCAAATTCAAAGTCATTATTGACGTTGCAAGGAGTGAAAGACCATATGAAAACGTCAAAAATCTTTACACAGAACTGCAAATTTCATATAACAATTACTCAGTTGCATCAAATACAATTCTAAAGAACAAAGAAGCACAGAACTAGGGACAAGAAAGTGTGAAGCCAAACTTAATGAACTCAAAGTCACACACACTTGTTTAATGAATTCGAGCTCATGGATGAACTTTCTAACCAAAACTATCCACAAAATCAGAAAACCCTAACCCAAAGAAGAGAAGAAAAGCCTGAACTGAACAAGCCAAACAATAGATCGGTCACTCCAAGCACGGAAATGAAAAAAATCAGAAACTAGATACATTGATTAATAAACCCTAAAATAAAAAGTACAAGCAACAGTTCACAACCCAAGCTTCTAAATCCACATCCTCGAGGATAAAATATTAAAAATTAAGAATCGCACGCCAAAGAAACTCGATTATTGATCGAAACAAAAAAGCTGACCTCTAAGAAAATAAAATGAGAGCTTTTATGCTAATAAGAAAAAGAAACCATTGGGTATAATTGGAAAAGATGCACAAGTTAACAATCGCGAGCACCTTTTAAATCGTCGGGAACACCAAACACAATCGGCCGCCAAATATTTTGAAAATGAAGAGACCGTTTTAACTCAGTCACGTTGACGATGGGGTCAGCGTGGACGTACTCGTTGAAAAGAGAAGTTTTAGTGTATCCAAAGAAACAGTTCCAAAGGGGAGGAAATGGAGGTTGGTGTTGGTCAAGAAACGGAAAGCGATTTTAGGGGAGAAGGAGGAGGAGAGGTGGGATGAGGCAGAGGGAGAGACGGTGGCGCGGTGGAAGAGACGAAGATCGTCGAGTTCATCGGAGGCGGAAATGGGCGGCAGAGGCTGGGATTTAAACTCGGGCCTAACAAGAAGAAGAGAGTCGGGATGAAAAGCAGGAGAGAAAAGGAGAGAATGAAATGAGTGAAAAACATTAGGCGGGGAAGAAGCGGGAAATGTGAAAGTAATGGGGGAAATTAGAGTACGACTCCTAAAGATGACATACAATTAAAAAGTGTACTCCGTGTTTTTGGATTATGACTATTAAATATGACACACATTATTGTAAGTCATTAATCGTTCAGATTTTAAAAAACATGACATTTGTTTATGACACACATGTTTTGCAAGTCATAAATTAGCGTGTGTCATCGTTCGTGTGTCATTAAAGGTATATTTTCTTGTAGTGATTGGTTCTAATATCGATTCTATTTCTAATATTGTCCACGTTCTTACCCTAGTTCTTAACTCCTAACATCTAACACATACATTTCTATATTATATTATTAAGAAGTAGCATCACTAATAAAATCATACCAGATCAGTAATTTTGACCTCATAATGGCATGTACATATTTCTAATATAACATAGGCTCAGTTTAGGCTGAGATAGACTAAACATGCTGCTCTAATACCAATAAATGTAAAACTCATAGCCCATATATGTCTCACATCAACTTGACAAACATTTACTGAGCATAAAAACTTAAAATCTCATATTTTTTTTACTTTCTTTGTTTCAATTTAAAAACTTTAATCTTATTCATATGAAATCGTAAAATAAATTTAATCAATGAAAACAAGTCCATTTTCAATCAGTAAGTAGGTAGTTCATAACTGTTCATAATTATATATATCACTGCCTAAATAATGCTTAATTTAAAAACCAATTAAAACCAGTCAAAATATTCATTTATAAATACGATTATAATTAAAATTAACCAAACATTAAAACAGTTCTAAATTGCTATTTCATACCCCTTTTATTATAAATATGATAAATTAACACGACATATATAATGTACACACCACTAATAAGTTAAAGTTAGGATGTCTTTCTGATACTGTCGGTAGGTTTGATATTCCACAAGATGCTGGCAAACTTTTCACTTCACGTCCTCTACCATATTTGAACCCACACAATAGATCAACACGTGCTATGTAAAACTTAGTGAGGCAAAAATATAGCTAAAATATAAATTCCATTAAATATAGGCAAATAAACTATAATTTAAATAAAAAAAAATTAAAACTTCAAACCAGGCTAGTCAAGTTGTCTCCCTTCTGAAAACCTAAAAATCATCATCTCATGATTTTATCAAAAATCATGTAAGTCATCATCAAATATCATAAATAACTTTTATTCTTTTATTTCGAACATATTTCAGAACTTTCTTTTCAATTCCATATTCCTTTCTATATACAATCATAACTTTCACATTTACTATTATAACCCAATGTATATGTAAGAGAATATAAGGTACATGAGTCAGAAGAGTGCTATCATCTCGGAATCATAATACACACACAATAAATCGTACTTCCATCATAATTCAAACTTCTCAAAACATTCATTAAATTCCATGAATATTTAGTTTCACTATCAACTCTTCAACTTTTACTAATTTCATAATACAACCACTAATTATGAATTCTTTCTAGAATTCATACTAACTTTCCTATTTAATCCATAATGGCTCTTCACATTAATCACATAAAATTTCTAGCAACTAAATAAAACACCCAATTCAATCCTTTAACATTTAAAATATTGTAATTTCAACCCAAACATTCCTAAACTTTTAATTTCAATCACCCAACTTCATAAACTCAAAATTTGATTCAAGCTCATTAATTAAACTCAAAAACCAGCATGATAATACTATTTTCCAGCATTGAAATTTCTTGTTCAAAATAATACCATCACCTTTATAAAATCACTCTCAAGTACCTTAAGTTTTAGGAACCTTTCGAATTCATCCACTAAAATTATCAAACTTGAAATTTTAGTTCCCAACAACTTTCCTAACTTATAAATTCCAGCATATTATCCTTATAAATCAATACTAAGTCCCTTAAATTGTATATTTTCACATTAAAGACCCAAACTTCTCAAAACTTGTACATTAGCCCTTTTCTAACTCAAGCTTCCAAATTGATTCAAATCAACCTAAAAATACATAGAACAGTTATAATATTCATTCTAGACCATAGGAACTTTTTCAACATTTTCTCCTTAATTTCTTCCCTATGGCCGAATATATCATGTCACAATAGGTGGACTTTTTGTTCAATCTCAAACATGAATTCAACCTCCCATGATTAAATTCATGTATTTCCAATCACTACAACCACAAATTAAATCAAAATCCATTAATTCTCCATAAATCCTAAAGTGACCAAACCTAATATAAGCATGTATAGATAATTTAAATCATCATACATACTTTAGAATTAATCTCCAACCTTAAAAACATAAAAATTCTTTATAAACTCTTCAAAATAACCAAACCCTTCATAATCCTAATCATCAATTCTCATCACACAAACATTTTCACTACACAATATTTATGCCAAATGATAGAGAATTTCATGTCGAATAATTATCTATTTCACAACCTAGTCCAAAAATCATTCAAATAGCATTAAAAATTGAAACAAAGTTTTCTTACCTTGAGCAAGAGGAGTTTCGGCCAAGAAAAAGATAGGAGCTGAAGATGTTGATTTGTTTCTCAATTATTATAGAATTTAAAAGCTATTACACTTGGCTTAAATCTAATTTAATTAAATTCTTAATTAAACTTTTAAGAAATTCCATTATAGCTATTAATGAATCCTACAAATCACCATATGAAAATTTCCCCAATAAAATATTCCTTAGTAAAAAATATCTCAACTTGGATTTAACTTTTCACTTTGGCCATGCAATTTTTGAAAATTGCATTTTAGTCACTAAAATTCCACTGTTCGACCAAATCTGAAAAAATGACGCTAATCTGAGCTAAATTTCTCTAATCTAAAATAGGTAAATAATATTTACAACCATTTTATGGCATCCTCCAAATTTTCGTGAAATTCCGACTCGATCA